GCTCCAAAGAAGCATCCCAAATGTGAAGCTGCCTCAGAAGTTATCCTCTCTAAATCGCCATTACAGGGTTGAGGGCTTAGCAATGCGCAGTTACTTTACCTAGAACCTCCAACTGCATGGAAATTTCCATACCCTTAAAAAAGTCTTCGTGACAGGGCCTTCTAGATAAAAACATGTGCTTTCCCGATTTCTGTACGTGACCTTGCCAACATTGATCACATGAGTAATGTCCCTTGTGAGTGCCTATCAAACTCATCCCGAGGGGGAAGTTATGGGGCTCAGCAACATACAGATCTTAGCAAGAACCAGGGCCTGGGGTCTAATGCTATTTCTATCTATTCTACCTATTATACTTATGCTCCCGGTCTACAACGCGGACTCCAACCTGAGACTACTCGTGGAATGCGCCACAGCCTCAATTGCACAGGGTGAACTCCGGGCTTCAGTTTAAATTGCACATAACCTCTAGAGCATGCATGGGCTTTGTAAGGGACCGTCACATTTCAGCTGCCAGAGACTATCGAAGGATCTCGCGGGACCATAGTTGCTTGTAAAGCAACAGGCACACCCGTAAGCAGCGGATAGCTACCTTTGCCGTCGATTGGCGACGACTTATGCGTGAAACCTTGCCTATGTAATCTTCGTCGCTCAGGCAGCTGTAGCCTAAGTTGACCCAGAAATCCCATGCAAGCACAACAATCTTATAAGCATGCTGCTTCAGCAAAGTCACTTAACATGTTCAGACAATAGTCTCCTCGATCACTTTGGAGCTCCATCTCCCTCCTTACTTGTTTTGGGTTTCAGGGCAAGGGTTTGGTGGGGCATTGACATAGCCAGGCAGGATGGCTGGTGCATTGTAAATTTGTTCACAAAACTTTGACAAATGATAAAACGATTCCTCTATAGAACATAAGCTTCTGGAGATGCATTTGCATGTGGATCTTCGGCTTCAACCTGTATAATGCCCAGCCCTTTCGGCTGCACATTGCCGCCAGCGTACTGTACCCTTCCTGATCACAGGCTCTCGTAAAATTAGTAATAGGAAAAGAACGGATGACTAGATAGCAAAACTTTTCAATACCCAACAATGCAAAACCCGCCCTGAACCCTAATCCCTTATCCCATGGACACTATATCTAGATTAGGTTCCATGGTTTGTTTCACCAAGCAGCCGTCATGTTGTACCCATGTTGTACCAGAATCTTCGTGGTCGCAGCAGAAATCCAAAGACCTTGTCCGTACAGCCCTCTGTAGAATTTGTTGGTGCTGTAAATCATCCAGCGAAGCACTTCCAGTAGGTTCTTGTGGCAGTCAGCCTGGGTAACCATAACCGTTATAGAAATGGGCCACACACATGCAACATGTAAAAACACTCATGTTTTTTTCAGCCCAGTCTCAACCCTTGCGTCGTCCAAATTTTCGAGGAAGTCATACAGCCATTGCAGAAGCACGACAGTATCAGATCCCTTTCCAATTCCCATAGGATAGTCTCTTGACCTTGCGTACCCCACCACAAGATTGGCAAATCATGTTATATTCAACTAGATTCTGTACATGAAGCCAGCCAGAATCAGGTCGAGTATCGAAGTCATCTTGAACTTCTTCAGCGAGAGGCCAATCAGACTGGTTGTTTTCCCATTGTTGAGGCACCAGGCTTTAAAGTGCATATACAAGTCATCCAGTCGAGCATTGAGACTTCTCCCCGATGCTAACCCCATGTGGCTAAGCAATACGCATGTAGAGGTGGCCATAGTAGATCCAAAGCCCTGAATGGCGTACGTATGGGCCGGGTCGATTCGAATCCTCAACCAAGTCTCCCCACCTGGAATATCACGAAGAGGGCTGTAGATTCTCTTCCAGGGGTGTGGAGTTGGTTGTTCAGGCGTCCACGTAGTTCGGGTCGAAGAGTGGTCTGAGAGATCATACCATGCCTGGTTTAAATCTTAAACCCTAAGCCCTAGGTAAACCCTAAATCCTAAACCAAATTTAGAGAACGTATAACAATCTTCATAACTTAAGCTAGATTGGGTTGGGAATAAGCTGTGCCTCCGTGTCGCACAGAAAGCATACACGATTCGAACTGAAACCAGGTTGGAGAGCATATGCCTTCCGCAACCATGGCCAATCTCCTTTCCCCCCCATGAAGGCGAAATGAAGTTTGTAGCTTTGACCTTCGTACATAACCTTGTGTGGTGTACATTGCATGAGGACAAAAAAAGGGTTTGCTAGTGGGAACCGTATAAGGCCAGCCTTGTTTCTTCAACGCCCGAGAAAAAGAGCTTTCTGCAACCTTTTGCCAAGCTCTCCAGCAGGGTGTAGATGCTCTTGTCCTTTTCGGCGTAGCACTGGGAAGGGAAGACAGTGTACAGCAGCCGACTGCAGAAGGAATGCCTTCATTTAACAAGACTAGTCATTTCCAGGTATACAAGATTTCTTGGATTTTCCGGATTGTCTAGCAAAGCAAAGAGTTCCTATAGTCTAGTTATATAACCAAGGCTCCCTGACATGTTGAGGCGGTGGCTTCCGTAATGCGAAATCAGGCATTGAAACGATATTGTGAGGAGTGCTTGTTTCTGACGGCCCCTGCCCTCGTCTCCATGTATCATGTAAGGCACAGTCATCTCCACTAGGATCCAGTGGTTCATAGCGGCGCCAGAACTCCCTCAGCTCGTTCTTCCATCCCTGCTGTGAAATAATGTGTCCACCCAATAGCATCTGTCCCCCTTGCGAAAGCTCGTATCGTATCCAAGAGGATAGGTGAAGAATTGGCCACGACTTAATCGCCTCCTTTCTTGACCGGAGTTCACGAATTGGCACATCTATATACGATATGGCTATTGGAAGGCTCCATTTCTTCAGCAGATTGTGAAGATTGCGGCAAGTGTTGCCGCTCTTGCCAAGTGCGCATCGAGCCAGCCTCTCCAACATGTTGTCCCGACAACCTGCGCAGAATTAAGGTGGTTGGAAATTCGTGGGGTTTAATTTTTTTTTGGGAAGTATTAGCCTATAATACTCAACCTATGTAAACTTTATAAGTGGTAAACCTATCAACACAAAATAGCTAGTTAATTCTTGGAGAAGTTCCAGACTCCAGACCTTGTTTGCGAAGTTTCTTGGAAGCTTTCCTGGCAATGCGCCCCACCCGTGCACAAGAATCAGCCTTAGCTGGGACTCCCAATGCCATGAGATAGTTTGAAATGCGGAGAAGTTGATGACAGAACTCCTTTAATACTCATAATGGGCTAAAACCAAGACACACCACCACTGATTCCGGACAACAACTCCTCCACCAGGTCATCGTCGGATAATGACAGCGGTTCTGGCTTGCCTTAATTGGGAGGCACGGAATTGGGCATCTAATGTTCAGGGTGAATTACTTAATGTGTGTAACAGTTCATATGTCAGCTGAGCCGCCATAAGCCCATTCATCAGACCCTGCGTTGGGAAGGGACAATACAAAACATATAGTTCATGTTGTACTTGCATGTAGTCTTGGCTTACGTACACAGACAAGACTCTCAGGATCCTCTTTTAGACGCGTCAAGCTTGATCGAAAGTGTTCCCCAGGCATGCCATGTGGCCATGTACCACAGCAAGCGAGATCACAGCAACTGCTACTAGAGTCACCCATGAAAGTTGCGCAAGAATAATGCAAAGCGGCTTCATGAAGGCGTGTACTAGTTTTTGGGTAACTCCTTTGCGGGCAGGGCTGCAAATCTAAATTTCTCAAGGCACAGGCTCAGCTCTTGCGTGCCCTCTTGTTGGGACCGCTAGGCTTTGACTTGGGCTTCCGTGACTTCTTGTCAGAGGTAGACTCAGGAGCTGACTTCTCAACGGCCTTGCCAGCACCCTTTGCCTTAGCCTTAGGAGCAGCCTTTGGCAAGGCTGCTGTAGTTCCCGCCTTGCCCTTCTTGACACTCCTGAGGATGCGTAATTATGTAGTTGCCTGCCCCTTCATGTGTCTGAAGTGTACATCGCCCATTCAAACTGAGGAGCTTGGATCTCATCACATAATTGTTCAAGGCCAAATCCTCCTTTGTCGCCTCCACATACTTCTTCATTATCTCAGCATCAATCCTTAGACGTGTTGCAAACAGATCGGAAACAGGTCTTGTAAGCGATTGCAGTTATAACAGATAGGGGTGGGCAAGGTTCTTCTGCAGCTCATCTGGCTGCCTACTTGTTGCTGCCATGGATTGCAGCTTCACCAGGTCATCGTAACAGGCGGAAAGACGGCCCAAAGATTGTTCGATTGAGTCCGCAATCCTCAAGTTGTCCAGCGACAGTAGCAGGTTCAACGCTGCAGCATAATCATGAAGATCAAATTATTATTCACGACAAGTGGCTGGTCAGCCTTTGCAGTCTTCGACTTCCTCAAATTCTCCTTGTCACATGCAAGTTATTCAACTCCCGTCCTAGCTTTAAAACTAGTACGTGAATGGCACCCGAGCCCCAAGCCCTATAAATCCCATGAAGCCTATATCCCTACAAGCCCTAGAAGCTCCATGCAATATGAAGAAACTTATAGAAACCTCAAACTAAATGGTAGTAAGATTGTGCTTGAACTATTCTTGCGTGGAGAACATCATCATGAGGCCTATGAACCCCCAGAGTCCTTCGTGTCATCTCCCTGGTCCAGCTTCCTCCCTAGCACTTGTAGGAAGCTTGGTAAGATAGAAGCCGGACTGACATTCTGCTGCAGCGACGGAAAGCATAGCCTTAGCAAATGCTACAAACCCTAAACCCTAAACCCTGGACACACTAAACCTAAAGCCCCAAGCCCTAAACTGCAGCATGGGCTGCAGCCCTGATGCCCAAATGCTATAATACTGTAGGTGAGATGCTTGAAAGAAGCACCAGCGTTCGCAACCATAGCTGTCCCGGAAGGATTGGCCGACGGATTGTGATGGGAGCCCGCACCATCTTCAGGACCGCTGACCAGGTCACTCGTGCCCAAGAGAGCACATCCAGGGTCCTCAGTAGGTAAGAATGTATAATGGTCACATAATCATATAATCTGATACATAGCACTGAAAGCCCGAAAAAATGCTAGTAGTGAAGCAGGCCACCTCCATCTCAGCCCCATTCTCAAACTCCACCCGCTGCCCTGTGGTGTTCGTGTTGGACCATGAGAAATCAAACGGAATGTCGGCCTCTTCAGCCCCAGTGATTTCACTGATTCGGTGAAGGCCACGAGCTTTTGCCCATTCAAAGGCCTTGTCCGCCATAGTCCTCATATGTTTTGCAAGAATGGTTTCATTCTGGGGTGAGGCTGGGTTGTCATAAGGGAAGGGAAAATATCCAATCAAGTGTTGCTAGACATTTGGCCTATCAACTTATCAAACGAGCGGTTGTCGATCAGCCACTGCTTGGTGACATAGCCTCCCCCTTGCTTTTGCTTGCGCTTGGTTTCAGCCCACTGCTTGACTACAACCTCCACCTTGTCAAATGATCCGTGTTGAAGAAGTAGCTGACGAAGCTTCTCTCCTGCATGAGGGCTTCGGTGCTGGTTCCGGTTATCATGTCTAAAGGCCTTTTGGGGGAGACTAAGGGTTGAGGGGGTTGAGGGGCCATGTTGGGCTGAACGCTATATAATCAATTCCTACCTAATAGGTTTGATTTGGGATCTTGCTTGGTTGAGGTTTGCTTCAGCTGCTCTGTCCAAGCTGACCACACGCAAAACCCTATGGGGCAAGTGTTCTAACCCTCCAAGTAAGGTTTTGGCTTTCTATACTGTATATCACGCTGATTCAAGCAGGGGGCTTCCATCAGTCGTGCCAGCCATGTTGAGCACATCCTTACTGCACTTTGCCGCACCCTTCTTGTCGGGCGTCACATACCTTCGGACCCTGGCGCAGATGGAAGGTGCTATGCAATAAAATTCCCAACAAGATCGAATGTCTGACATGAATGCAGAACGATTTGGAACCTCCAGTAGCCTTCAAGCTTGGGCTCCAAATTACTCTTGGACACAGCTCTCTTGGGCGCAGCGTTCAGGGCAGAGGCTGGAACAAAACCCTTATTGCAGGGCGAAGGGGTGAAGGAGGATTTCTTGGGCGAAGGGGTGGATAGCTTCACAGGGGTAGGAGACTCCACTTTGCTGTTCTTCTGCGGTCCAGAAGCTCCTGATCCCTTGCCCTTGCCAGCCTTGTTCGGGGCAAGTGCTTTGCTAGGGGAAGAGTGAACCAACGCCAAGGGGCTGCAGCTTCGGGCGCATGGGATGGCAGACTTTCTTCGGAGGCAGCCTTTGAGTAAGGAGCTCCTAGGGGCTTTGGGCAGGGGGCTTCTAGGGGCTTTGGGCAAGCGGCTTCTAGGGGTTTTGGGCAGGGGGCTTCTACAGGCTTTGCGCACGGGGCTTCTGCAGGTAAAGGCTCTGGCAGAGTCTCTGGAATCGTGTAGTTGAGCGAATCCGAGCTTGGCAAGGTCTCTAGAGAAATCTTTGAAGACTGCGCCAGCATCCTCAGGGTGTCTCCTTGAGGGGTGCTTGGGCAAGGGCTGGTGGTAGGGGAAGGCCCGCTTCGAACTGGAGGAGGGGTGCTGGTTTCCTCCTCAGGCTTGGGTAGGGAGGCGTCCGCTAGAGATGCAACAGTTTTCCCCGCAACGAAAGCACCGCTGTTTGTAGCGATTGAGGGTGCTCCTAGCAGGCTGAAAATTATCTAGAAAGTGATTACCCCTGCATGATATGATAAAGATCACTGTTGTCCTGGCGCTGCAACAGGGATCGCATCAGACTGGGAGCCTACTAGCTCACGCTGCAGCGCATCATACCTTTCCCTTGCAGCCTGGCATGTGCAAAAGAACAGATTCATTACATATGTACTGCGCATTGCACATTTGAAGACAAGCAACCTTGATTCTCGCATCAAGCTCTTCCTCGGAGAGCTCGTCCATGGACATATTGGAATCCCAGCTGTGAAGGGCAACCAAGCCCTTATTGAAAGTTTCAAGCGAGCGCATTCACCTATGCCCTCTACCCACGCCCCAGCAAAGCAAATCTGAGCACCGCCTGGAAAAGCCAGCAGCAACAAGCACATGCTTAAGATTCAAACGAACAAGAAGCTTGCACAAACACTGCAGCCATGAAATGTGTGCTGCATGCGCCACAGAACCGAATCATCGCATGTTTTCTCTCGGAGCCGGCTTCAGCTGTGCCATCTGTGCACTTTCCAAAGTGAGCTAGGCTCTCGTGTCCAATTTTCATTCGTTTTTTTTTTAATTTTGTGACCCTCCGGGAAACCAAAAAGTATGGATTTTAATTTGCGGGCGAGTTGCGGGGATTTGCGGGCGAGTTGCGGAAATTTGCGGGCGAGTTGCGCCCGTCAATTTTCAGCCAAAAACCCCAAAACCCAAAAACATGCCTTTTCTTAAAATCTATGAGTCAGGGCCACAAGAGTCTAGGATGAGCCTTTGGGTTCTACTTGGGCTGACCAGCAGGCTGAGGTTTGGCAGAAGCTTGGGGCATCCTACTCTATAGCAAACAGACATCGAGAGCCAGCTTTCTCAATACTCGGGCCAGAGGCTTTCAGGCCTCAAGCATTAGGCGGGCCCGTCCTCAGCAAATCGAAGACATTTGCCTCAGGCCTCAAGAGGAAATTGTACTCATCACGGAGACCAGGAAGTATATTCGCCTAAGTTGATGCCGGCAGACTACTTTTCAGTCTTTATGCAGCAAACATGCAGGTGCAAAGGTTGGAGGTTTACGACTCTATACGTGCAGAGTTTAATTGGGACTGCCAATGGGGCACTGCGGCGAAGAGCTCCATGTCAAAGTTTGCAATAGTCATCTTCCATGACTCCGGTATTTCCAAATGGGTGTTCTCCCGCAGGTAGAAGTAAGTCTTTGCAAGGTTTGCATCGATCCAAACATCCCCCATATCTAATGACTCAAACAGCTCGCGATCACTGCAATCAGGATCCACATAATTCTTGCGGCGGAGATCTCGGCGCTGATGCGTCATCTCTGTCTCGTAGAAGGCGCGATAAAGCTGGTTGCAGAATCGCATTGGATAGACCCTTACTGCTTCAATATAGAACCCCGTGTAAAGATTTCGAGCAGGGTTTAGGGTTCAGGGTTTTTACAGGGCTTAGGGCTTAAAGGGTCTAGGGCTTTAGGCTCTATAGGTTTGAAGCCAAGCAGCCCCGATTCTGTCAATTGCTTAGCTCCAGCAAATCTGCGCCTTCCCTCCTTGTTTAAGTATTTGCCTTGGAGATTGAAGAGGGCACCAGCTGCAGAAGGCAAACCTTCCTGGCCTACATGTAGCATGGGTGGACTTTGGCTTGGTTTAGAGTAATCCAGACCTGCTTTGTGACACACAGCATGCATGCAATTGCCTTGCAATAACATCCACATGCAGCCAAAGCACGCACAGTGGTGATCTCAGTGAGTTGCTCACGCATTGATTTACTCAGGATGCCAGCATCCAATCTTTTGATTAAAGGAGAATTTGAAAAAAGTGCCGTACGCTTCGGCGAGCGGGATCTCCACAGCATCATCCATAGATTTTGCCTGTAGACCTGAGCTGGCAAGGGGCGATTTGCACTAAGACACATGCAAGGATACACTTCCTAATTGGGCACATTCCCTCTAGAGTCCATGCAAGCAAGGCTCCCAAGCAACAGAATTGCAGAGCCATTCGAAGCGAAAGGGCCGTGTGACCAGGGTGCAAACAGGGTGCTCCAACACCCAAACCGTATATTGAGCGGTCATGACCAGGATGGCCAACACTGTTCTTAGGTGGGACATGCTCAGAAGCAAAAGGAGTTCATAGCACAGAAGGGCTCCCAAAGCAGCTCTACGCATAGATAGATAAACCTGATTCACGTTGAGAAGTCGTCTCATTTTTCTTGGCAGCTGCTGCAGATATGGTGCACCCTATGAACTTCAGCAGCCTGCAGCTCAGGCTCCTTGAAATCATGCAGTTGGCGTCAGCGATGTAGGGGAGATGTTGGGCGCCGGTCCAGTTTATAAAGTCACGCTTGCTTGTACCGCGGTTAGGCACCCCCCAGCTGCTGCAAACTGGTCCCATCAAGTTGAAAGCGCCAGGGTTTTCTTGGATGATCACCCAGAGAACTAGCCTCACCAGAAGCAGACACTTGCAGTAACATGTTTGACCCTGATGCAATCTCTCAAGTTTCAAGCTTGCAGCCAGGCACACCACTATAGGTTTGAATGCGCTCCGCTTCATGTACACCTATACCTTGCCAATGTGTGTTGTCACAAGCAACTGAGCTTCAGGCAAGAATCCTGCATCCGATAATATGTTCATGTGAGGGGAGTTCTGCAAGTCGATTGTTGCAACTCTGAGGCCCCTCGATTTCCTGGAGCAAGTATGTTGCACAACTTAGTAGGAGGACACATTGCAGGCAAGACCTTTCCAGGCTACCCCAGGGTTCAGCCAAGGCACCAGAAAACGGACGCATTGCCCACACCGGCAAACAGATCCAGAAAATCGAACGTGGTCTTGGGAAGGTTCGTGCTCCATGAGAGCAGCAAGCAAATTGCAATCAGTACCTGAGCAAAGGCCATATGCTTTAAAGAATCTTTGCTCACAATATTAATTGTTTTCATGCATAGGCACGGGTGGAGAAAACCTGCGAAACATGTCAAAGCGCCTTTGGAGCGCCCACTTGAATCAGACGCACCAGAAGTGATGAGCGAGGGTTCGGCGCAGGCATGGCTGCGCAATGTAAATACAAGCTTAAGGCCAGAAAACTAGGTGCCCCAGGGTCAAGTAACTTCGCCTGATTCAACATGTTGTGCATAGTAGATGCCACATTCATGCAAACGCATGGAGACTGATGCTGTTGTGGACAGGACATGGAGGCTTGCAAGTAAAGAAGCTGCGGCGCACCCCGCAGTCATGAACCACCCCTCATAAGACCTGCCATAATCACAACCCCTCTAGATTTAGGCCCGAATCTGAATCCATATTAAAAAATCTAAGGGGAATACTTTCTGAGGTAGGGGAAGATGATTGCATACCTGAACATGATCGCACTCTAAACCCTACACCCGAAACCTGAGACCCAGCCACCAATATTGCTATATAGCTGTATTTATCCTGCAATCCTTTCACTACCCCATTGCAAAGTGCAAGCGTAGGGAGGGCTCACCATCTAATCTGGCAGCGCGGCGGAATGCCATAATCTCCAGAGGCACACTTCGTGGATCAGAAGGCCGAGCATGGTAGCGAGGCGCCTGACCATAAGACAGATTAAGGGTTGTACTAGGGAGTTGTTGACAGGGCTGCGCTGTAGGGCTGGAATTCCATCATCAGGTCACATAGGGAAAGCTACACAGGCTTAATTTTCGAATGTGTATACAATTTCAGGGTATGAGTCTGCGTGGTAATCAGTAAACGTGTAACATCCAGCCTCGATGAAGAGTAATGTACTTGTCCAGGGTGGAGCCTGTACCTGCCATAATCAATGCATGGGATTCAGAATTGACATAGCGCTCACAGGAAGGGGGGCTCACTAGAAGAAGT